GAAACCACTTCCCAAGTAGTGTAGCCATTTATCATCCTTGGAGACAGTTTTCAGTTTTAAGATAATGAAGACAGCATTTTTTTTAAACAGAAGCTTATAAAGAAAAAAGGTGGACTCTTCTCACATTTACATAATACTGTACCGCAGACCAAACAGTTATTCTGCTGTGCTGTTAAGCTGGGATCCCATTAGTCATTAATAAGCTAAAGCAGCCTGATTTCATTCACTTCTTGCCTTCTTAGGTAACTAAAATACAGAAAGTTAGATTTAGTGGCAAGAGAAGTTAGCAAAGGCATGATATTCAAACCAAAACTGTGCCTATGCTTAAATTCTTGTAAACAGCTTTTTAGGGCACCTATACACGTGCCAGATATCTGCTCCAACATGTGGTAATTAGCACACATTGGAGCAGACTTGATTAATCAAATCTGCTGGAGTGTGCTAATGAGCATGCTCCAGCAGCCTCTGCATGTGTATTCAGCATGCTTGAAAATGGTGGTGGGGGTACTTTAACTCAAGCTTGTTGAACACGTGCCCCTGACATCATTTTTGAATGCAGAACGCTGAATACATATGATACTGTGGGCACCTTAATTAGTGAGGCTCTTGGAGCTACTCTAATTAAAGCTCTCCCCCCTCCACCCTGCAGTACATGTAAAGATGTCCTTAGTCATTATAGCTAAACAAAAAAAGTCACATTAAAACCATTTTTCAGTAGAATTTTTTTTGACAAAATGATTTTTTGGGAAGAAAAAGGTGTGCTTTCTGTGAGAATCTATTACCCCTAAACCAAAAATGTTTTCATTGTCAGCAAAAAATACTACTACTACTAAATCAGCTATGTCACTGTGATGCCCTGTGGCAGTTGTGGATCATGTACTTATGCTTTTATCCTTCTGTATGAGCTAGGATTCCCCATTAAGACTGTTTTCCATTATGTACCATTGCCAGGGACTCTAAGGAAACACTGTGGTATCTCAACAAGAGAGTGACAGCACACCATGGGTAATAATGTTTAGGGAGCTTCACCCATTAAAAAAAAGCATGGAGGCATGAGCATTTGTGAATCAACATTTTTGGATTTCAGCCCAAATCTTTTGGTGTTGGTTAAGCTATTTTGGGGTTTCTTTTCTTTTTCTTTTGCTTCTTTTTTTGGCTAGTTTTTTTCATCTTTCTCAAAATTTTCTGTGGAAAGCCCAATTTTTATTAGGCGTTTTGACTTGCACATGGAAGGCTAGGTAGACATTGCAAGTTCATGTGAAGAGTTTTATATATATGTAACTCTTCATGTGAAGAGTTTGCATATGTATGATATGCAAGATTAAAAGCATGATTTGGATAGTTATATGTGGTATTTCCCAGAGTTTTTAATTTTCTAGTTACTTTTAGTGTCTTGTTGATTTATATTCTTGACTTGGATTAGTTCAGTATGCAGGACCAACTATTTTTGTCTGCTGATTGTTCTTGTAATTTGATTGGTGTCTAGGGTACTGTCTTGCAAAAAAAAAATGTTATTTACCTATATTTGGAAATTTGGTATTTTGAAAATACTAAATACTAAGGTTTTTGCTTGTAAATGAAAAAAATCCTGGGAACAAATAAATTGGTTTCTCCCTAAGTTTGTTCATATAAGTAGGTATATCATTTTAGATTTTTCAAGAAAACAGATTTCCTTTCATAAAAGACCTTGAAAACATCAGGTTTGGGGCTAGGATATGAAATTGATAATATTTGCTGCAATCTTCTATTTTTTCCTTTAATATATGAAAGAAAAGGGTCTGTGAAGCATTGCCCATTTTCAAATTTGGATTCACTAATTCCATACACTCTTTTTCAAACATTGATCTGGAGTAATGTTTAAGCTCATTATTTATTTATTTATGAGTATCTACCCCTATATACGGAAGTTGACAGTGTCTTCTCTTAGTTATTTGTGGTTTATTTGTGCATGTGTATGTGTGGAGGACTCATTTGTTAGTTAGGCTGCAGGACTGTAAATGAGACCAGATCAGGACTTCTGATAAAGTATACGTATTGTCTACAATTTTAGCCTTTCATGCTGTGCAACGATAGATATTTATGAAAATAGGTTAAAATCTTGGAAATGGAGGAAGTCCAAAAGGTTGTGACAGGATGGGGCCAGATGTGTGGTTATAAAAAAACAAAAAAAAACAAAATCACTCTCGAAGTTTGAAACAAAACTGTGAGTAAGAACAAGGGGACTGATGCTCCCAAAAGAATGAGCAAATTTGTTGTGGAATATGTGAAGGACAATAACAGAGGAGAAAAAAAGTTACAAAGTTTTGGATGAATCATATATGCTGTTCAATATTGGTACATGTGCCTGTTGTAACTATCAATTAAATGGATAATCAGCAATTATGCAGAAGCAATAGGTTTTTTATTACTGTATGTCCATGTCTTCCTACACTTGCCTTTTCTTTTCCCACCAGTGTTTTTCAACTGTTTTTTTACTACGTTCATCTCTTCTTTGTTCTATATATTGCTGTGTTTGTACTGTAGTAAATCATGTGTTTTGAAAACAAAAAAACCCCCAACTAAAATAATGTATGCATTGAGTAGAAGATTTCTGTCTGCTATGGCAAAGCAAAGCATTCAAAAGATTACTTTCCATCATCAGTTTCAAAAAGAAAATGTGTTTATCCTTATGTGCCTCTTCTGCCATCTGGCTGCTAGCTTTACTCATCCTCCCATAGCAAAATATGCCACTATTCCTTAAAACTAGTATCTCTAAAACCCACATCCTGTGGTATAAAAAAAATTAGAAAAAATAATTTCTAAAATCCAGTAAGTTGTTAATTAAAGCAGTTTCACCTGCATACTCAGGTGGAGATCTAAAGATCTTGTCCTTTTCACCTTACCTTTTATTGGTTATGGGTCTAGCTATGTTTTTAGAGAGCTTAGAACAATGGAGCCCCAGTCTTTGCAGTATTCAGCACTCTGATTACACAAGTAATATAATGTCAGTTCATTCTTCAGCCCTTTTAAAAATTCTATGTACTAATCGGAATTTATTTTCAAATTCTGGCTGTTCCAGAAAAACCAAATTTTATGTATAGCAGTAACTCTTTCATGCATTTTGATTGCTTTTATGTATAGCAGTAGGCATTTTAATGAGTTTTCTTGTTTACCTGTCAAAAAACAAAGCTAATATAGAAGTCAGTGATCAACACTAAATTTTTAAACTTTTTTTCCAGCTATGGTTCTGTTCATTTCAGGAGGTTTTTTTATGGCAATGTGTCAAAAGGCATGTGTGCACAACACTTTAAAGTGGGCTAAATGCTTTTGCATCGCTTTAATGGTGTCGGTGTTTGCACACCTTGGCGGGGTATTACACATTAATTCCAGCTGCTGTAGGAAATTCAGCGGTGTAATTGCACCTTAAATGACTTGGGATGCAGTAAAGTAAACTCCTTTGGAGGAAAGCACTGGGCTCCGTGCAGTTCCATGGCTTTGCAGGAAGCCCTGCAGGCAGCCTGGCAGCAGCTTGGGAAAGCAGGCTCCACCCAAGAAAAGAAGTGAGCCTGATCTTTTTTTTCGCTCCTGGATCCTGCCTGAGCTGCGCAGGGGCCCGGCGCTTCCCTCCATGGCTGCAGTGCCCCCCGGGACTGCCCAAGCCACGTGCCTGCAGGTGGGTGCCACCCGGGGGGGGGGGGGGGGCACAGCTGCCACAGAGGAAAGCACCAGTCGCACCCCGCAGCCCAGGGACCCCTCTGCCTGCTGGCAGCTCGCCCTCCCCTCCCTACCGGAAAGACTGGAAAGGGCTACGACCTGAGCCAGCCTTGCCTGTTTTAAGGTTATCAGAGAGCCCTAATGCAGCAGCGGTGTCTGTGTGTATACCTCAGCCCTGCGCCTGGAGCAGCCCTGTGCTCACCAGTGTCACGGTACCCCGAGATGACATAGCACCCTGCTTGAAAACCACTATGCTAAATAATTAATTTCAAAAGAAAGCACAACCACCCTGTATTTTGATCCTGCCAGTAAGTTCTGAGAATTGTCTCACCCAACTCATGTAGTCATTTGATCCTGGCCACGGATTTGGGTGTGGTGGGGCACTTTGGCAGCAGGCACTTTCCCCTGCCACTGCAGGGGAAATGCCATCTCTAGGTTCTGTCCACATGCCAATCCATGTGCACCCCCTCTAGCTCAGGCTGGGCAAATCCTGGCCTGGAGCTCTCTCCCCCTCCCTTCACCCCCCTCCCTTCCTGCAGGCAGCACCAGTGCAGGCCTGACTGGTAAAGGGATAGACAGAAGTTAATGAAGGTGCTCTGCTTTGGTACACCTTCATCATGTAAGAAGGCTAACGTGTCACACAATCAGGCACTTTTAAAGCACTCTGCAGCCATGAACTTCTGTCAGGGCATGGCTGGAGAGCACTTTTAAGGGGCCAATCATGTGACAAGTGTTACTTCTGTCAGTGCCCTTGGACAGGAACTAGGCATGAAGCTGCTTAGCCCTGTCAAAACTAAGGTGCTGATGAACAGAAATGGCAGGTTTAGGTACCTAGAGAACTTTACAGTCAAATACTGATACCTCTAGAGTTCCAGCTGTGTGGGGATTTGGGGCTTACAATTATGGACTCAGACACACAAGTTAAAAATAAATGCTGCTTTAGGCACCAATGTCCTTTTTTTTGCTTAAAGGTGTTTCCAGAGTTAGATAGTGGCTGAGCAAGTGTTTTAAAGATCAAAATTGAAGCCCTTAATTAAAAAGATCTAAATGAAAGCCCCTAATGTAGGGGGTGGGCAAGTAAGTGATTTAGTGTGTTAGCCTGAAATTCCAACCCAAGGGATTTACAGAAATGCTTCCTAGTGGATGTTCAGTATTGGGGGAAATTTATTTTATTCAGGATCTGTGGAAAGGGGCACTTTGCTTTTAAGTATTTCAAAGCAGCTCTAATTTCTGTAGCTGATTATTTTTTTCCTATGATTCAAAATGCATGTGTTTTTCATTCCTTTTCTTTTTCTTTCTGATTGCAGTCACCTAACAAACCTACAGTTCCACAAGAGAAGATAAGGCCACTCACAAGCCTAGATCATCCTCAGAGTCCCTTTTATGATCCAGAAGGAGGGTCTATCAAACTGGTAGCCAGAGTTGTCATTGAGAGAATCGCACGGAAGGTAGAAATTTAAACTTCTAAGAAAAAGTACATAAATAATTTAAAAACTGAAATGCTATGTTAGGATGATAATTTAAATATGTTTAATAGATTAATTGTTCCATAGATCTTGAAGCGCTTTTCATCTACTGGTGTAATTGCTAATTGAAGATTCCACAGCTGCATCCTACTTGTTTTTCTGCAGAAGCATAGGGCACCTATGCAGCAGCCTCAGCATCATATGTATTCAGCATCCTTATGTTTCAAAATGGGGGCAGGAACGCTTTAACTAAAGCTCATCAAGCAAGCTTTACTTAAAGCACCTCTGCCGCCATTTTGAAGCACAGGATGCTGAATACACAAGATACTGCAGGCACTTTAATTAGAGCAGTTCTTGAGAGCTGCTCTAATTAAACCCCCCCTCCCCCCCAGCTTAGAACATGTGTAAAGATGCTTAAAGAGATTAGAGATGACATTTTGTCACAAAATCACCTTGTCTGTCCCACTGCAAATGTGGGATGGAAACTTACAGTGGCTTTTCCAGTTCTTTGCCAGCTAACTCTCAGCTGGCTTAAGAGATGGGATTTCTCATTCTAACTTGTAGGTCTCATTCTAACATGTTTGATAGCCTTGTAGACCTTTGTACTGCAAATATTTCCTGATACTCCAGCTATTTGTCTTTTGTCTTAGTTTGGTTCTGTCTCTCCACATTATTCTATCGGAGATCCTCCTGAGCAAGTCAGTTTTTTCCTTGATTTTTTCAGACCATGTTATATAAACACATAGCCATTTACAAATATTATATAGAGAAACCTTCTGTATGCTTTTGAAAATGTCAAGCTACCTTGAAATCTTTGGGGCCTTATTAATCATAGATAATTTTCATTTTCCAGTCCCTTCATCATTGGTGTTGCTTTTTCCAAATTCCTTTAAATGTATTGATCTCAGTACACAGTACACAATAATATAAGTGATACTCCACCACCAATAAGTCAGGTGTACTGTTAATATCCTTCTTTTTGAAATGATGCTCCTGTCTATGAAGTTCAAAACTGTGCAGTTTGTCATTTTATGAAACTGCAACCATTTTAATTGTTCTTTGCTATCACCACTCAGTTTCTCAATTCATATCTACTACCCAAGTTTCTCCTTCCAAAACAATATTGGTAGTCCAGGTTTTTCTTTTGCAGGGAGGGAGGAGGAGTTGTCTATGGCTCCTGGCAGATGTTAAACTTAAAATGTAATTAACCTGTTGTGCCATAAATAGTAATCCTGTCCACATTCAGGGAATTAATAGCACAACAAAACATGAAACGAGCCACAAAAATATTCCACAAAATATGCGCAATATTTTTTGCAGCTGGTTTCCATCACACTTTAAATTGACTGGGTGGCAGGGTATGTGAGGGAGCAGGAAAGTTGGGATGGCCACCTGACAGACAGGTGAAGTCTAGGATCTGGGTTCCCAGGGAGCCAGGATCAGAACTAGAATCAGGAGCCAAAGCCAGAGTCAGGATTTGCCAGAAGTCAGGACCAGAATCAAGAGCTAGGGTTCAAAACCAGAGATCCAATAAGGGAAAGAAAGGATGCACACAGCAGTAAGAAGCAAGTACTTCAGCCTCTGCCTGGACAGGGTATTGTGGGCTGGGCCTAGCTTTTAAAGCTGATAGAGCCTGTTGCCTGTGGCCTCAAGGGATTTTCTGCCCTGATTGCTTCAGAAGGACCAGCTGGGTACTAATCTGGGCCCACTATAAATGGTACCTGTGTCCCTGTAGTCTTGAGAGATGAACTGCCCTGATCCTTTGATTGGGACTGGCTGAGCTTGGGCTCTGATCTGGCCTCATTACAGAATAGCCCTGGTATGCAGCCTGATGCTGGCTTCATGGTAGGGCTTGGTTGAGACCTCCACCATGTTGGCAAGCTGACAACCATGTGGTGCATCCCTGCATGGAACTGCCCGTTGCTGTTTTCAAGGTCCTGGCTTGAAGGGAGTTCATCTGCTAGGCCAGGATGCTGGGTTTCAGAGAGTCACCAAGCTGCATATGCAGTTTTCTGACATCCCTAGTGCACAGGGACTTTGGGATCAGGGAATCTTGCCTTAATTCAGGTACCCTAGTGCACAGGATCTTAAAAACAATCATGCACAGCTGGGCTGTACACAGGTTTTCTAACATCCCAGTGCACTGAGCTCTGAGTCTTAGAGCTGAGATCAACAATAATCTCGCTACACTGGAGTCTAGACCTGAACCCACTGTGGTTCCTGGGCTGGGACTCACAATCAGCTGATTGTTGGTCCATGCCCTGGGACTATGCCTGTTCATGAATACACAGAGTTACTAGTGCAGGGGGAGCCTGGGGCCGTGATCCTGGGCTCCCCCTACATTGAGAAGTAGTAACGTTACAATTTGGATCTGATCTCTGATCTCAAAATCACACCTCCTACCATGCAGGAGGTGCAACTGTTGGAATTGGTGATCTGATCCAACTGCACCATTAAATTAATGTGTGCCAGGGGCCTAAGAGATCCCACATCTCATGTTTTTATCTTTTCACAGTATTTTGAGTTCTGTTAAGGTGACGGCACAGGGTCTGGGCAGCATTTGAATCTGGTTGAAATGGAGTGGGTTTTTCAGTGGCCCTTTGCAGAGATAAATAACTGCATATCTGTAACATTATAACTGCATTACCAATATTGCTCCTGTTGTTGTGTAGCTTCTAGTAATTGATTTTATATCTCAGTACCAACAGGGGTATTCATATCAGTTTCCTAATTTAAATCTTCCTAACTACTTCCTTGCAGGGGGAGCAGTGCAATATCGTACCTGATAATGTAGATGACATTGTAGCAGATCTTGCTCCAGAAGAAAAAGAAGAAGGTATTTTTAATTAAGTTCTGCTTAGTGAGTTTAAATTTTGTTTCCTACTCCAGTGCTGATCTCATCTCTCTGTAGGATTATTAGTACAATACCTAAAATATCAACCCCTTCCCCCAACAAAAAAACACAACTTGGCAACTGCTAGTTGGATCCATATTCTTATACTGAAGACCTAAAGAACTGGCCATTGTTGGGGGTGGATTTTCAAAAGTGCTTAAGTGACTTAGAAGCAGTTGTCCCACTGAATATTAGAATGCAAGTTCAGTTTCCATTCTTTGAGTCACTGGCCTTTGGCTTTCATGCCCACAGAAGTTGGATAGCTTCAATATCAATAAGCTGGCAGGAATTAAAATATAAAACTGTCAGTGTACTAACCAAAGGAGAGGTATTTGTGGTAATTGTGTTTTCAGATTAATTTTTTGTGCTTTCAGTTTACAGTTTAAAACACTGAAAGCCTGTCAGCAAGCAGTGCCACATGCTGAACTCACACAACCATGAGCAAAGTGAAAAGGAACTGCATGGAGGACAACTGGTTATTGACATGTTCTGTTTTTTATTGGCTTCAGATGACACCCCTGAAACCTGCATCTATTCAAACTGGTCCCCATGGTCAGCCTGCAGTTCCTCTACCTGTGAAAAGGGGAAACGGATGAGACAGAGAATGCTTAAAGCTCAGCTGGACCTCAGCGTGCCTTGTCCAGACACACAGGATTTTCAACCATGTATGGGACCAGGGTGTAGTGATGAAGGTAATGAATCACAAATGCGGAGGAGGATGACACTGAATATTTTTAGTGGGTGGCCCATTTTAACTTTACTTTGAAAGCCAGCTACTGCTGCACGGTCCTATCTAGTGATGATGGTTGAAAAGTGCATGCATAAATGATTGTGTACAGATCTGCAAACACCCACATAGAGATTTATAGAAGCCCCTTAAAATTGTGGCCACTTGTGTCCACTATTGCATTTCAGTAAGCTGTCTGACTGGGTATTTGAAGATCAAGTAGGAGTAGGAAGAAGAAAGCACTAAAGTGAGGAACAGAGAAAAAGATCAGAAAGACAGAGCAGGCAGGGAAGGGATACACACGATAAACAGAAGTACGGATATCTGAAGAGAAAAGTGGGTAGCGATATATCAGGGAAATATTGCATATGAATATCAGCGAATTAAATTCTTTTCTGTGTCTTAGATGGCTCCACGTGCATGATGTCTGAATGGATTACGTGGTCCCCCTGCAGTGTTTCCTGTGGAATGGGAACAAGATCTAGAGAAAGATATGTAAAACAATTCCCTGAAGACGGTTCCATGTGCAAAGTGCCTACTGAAGAAACTGAGAAATGCATTGTAAATGAGGAGTGTGGTAAGTATTTGATTTAGCCTCATGAAATCTAATCAATAGCAAGAGCACTAAATGAACCATTACTTCAGTGAATGCCATTAGTGAGTGATTTTCTCTTTTGACATTATAAATAGCTCCTAGTAGCTGCCTTGTGACAGAATGGGGAGAGTGGGATGAATGCAGTGCTAGCTGTGGCATGGGAATGAAAAAACGATACAGAATGATTAAGATGACTCCAGCTGATGGATCCATGTGCAAGACGGAAACTACAGAGGCAGAGAAATGCATGATGCCAGAATGCCGTAAGTATCCATGAGCCATCTGCCAGCCTGAAAATTGAGATGACTCTGCTGACATGTTGCTTCAGCACATCTAAAGTGTGCCTGATAGGAAGTATTGCCAACCTTCACCCACCATGGAATCAGATTCTCCTCCTCACAGGAGTATGCATTTGGTACCAGTTGTTCTCAGAGGATGATATAACAGTGCCAGAAAAAAATATTCACTTGTATAGTACATGACACTTTGTTTTGCAAATAGCACAGTAGCCCTGCCAGTTAGCATATACTAGCAAAATACCTGCAAGCATTCATAAGTACTAGGTAATAGAACTCAGCACTTCATATTATTAGTACTAGGTAATAGTACTAGTAATAGTGAAGTACTAAGTAATAGTACTTCATAAGTACTGGGTAATAACATCAACTATCATTGATAGGTATTGTTGTTATCAAGGTGTTGAAAGGCTCGAATGAACAAATGTTCCTAAGTCCTGTGATCTTTTAAGAAAATGAGGAGTACAGTTTTCAGGATTTGCTGGACATGCTGAGCCTTAGGATTTAAACTAATACCTTCACCAGAACTGACACAGTATGTGAGGTGAGCAAAAAGTTAACATTTAGAGCCTGTGGAAAATTCCAGTGTTTTGCCAAAACAGGACAAAAAGCTACTCTCTTCCCCCTCCTCCCCTCAACCTCCCCCCAAAACCATGTTTCGAAAAGGTGAAAGGCAGAAATGTCTAAACATTTCTGTTCATCAAATTGTATGTTAAATTGTGTGCATCTGAGAAGCTTTGATGCCTTTGGGAGTTGCAGTTTGGCTTCCTCACTCCCCAAATCTATTCTGTGGGCTACATGTCTGGCATAATGCATTGTGGGCATGGGGATACACATGATGGAAGTTTAGTCAGAAGAGAGACCATGGTGTATTGCTGGGGTATAATCAAGCCAGAAGTGGATTAAGTGTGTGACACTCTCATGTTGGTAAAGTTCAAGTCAGCTCCCATGTAGCACCATAGAAGCAGCTGCAGACAGATTAATATCACACAGACAGAAAATTAAATATTTCAGTTCAGGCCAAACCAATGCCAAACACCTCATTTCAGTTTTCTTAATGGAAAATATTTAAAAGTCCAGTAAAGACCAGCTTTACTGATAACAACTTACATCCTGTTAGCAGTTATCTCCCACTAGAACTAATATAGCATACAAATCTGACTTTTATGCTTTTTAAAAATGTAGGTTCTATCTGAGCTTTTCTAAAGGCATCAGGACAGCTGTTTTTTTATATTATTATTATTTTATCTAAGCTGACAGCCAAATTCAGTATAGCTGTCTTTCTCCTTTGAGCACTCACATTTTGCATATTACTTCTTTTCAAATTTTTTACTTAAATGCCCACATAATAGGGTTCACAAATTTGCCAATTATTCTTTTCCTATATTAGATACCATTCCTTGCATGCTCTCACCTTGGTCTGAATGGAGTGACTGTAGTGTAACCTGTGGGAAGGGAATGAGGACCAGGCAACGGATGCTAAAATCAGCAGCTGAGCTTGGAGACTGCAATGAGGAGCTGGAACAAGTGGAAAAGTGCATGTTGCCAGAGTGCCGTAAGTATAGGAACCTGCCTAGAATGTGAAAGCTATTTAAGATGCTCTGCAACATAAGAGTCTAAACATGGTCACCCTCTGGGATGTGTTGGTTGTCCTTTGTAGCCTCTGGTTGTTGCTTTGACCCGAATGATTTCTCTGCATCCTCAAAGGAACTGTTCTATCTTATCTGAGCAATGAGGGAATCTGTAACCTTTCCTTGCTGAATCCTTCAACATCAGAGCCAGACACACACACAGTTTGAGATACTGTGCTGATACAGGGGGTAGCAGCTGGTGAAACAGTAGGCTCACCATGGTGAAGATGCATTGCTTCCCCTGCTATAATCTATTATGACAAAAGAGACATTCCCAAAGGACATGGCAGGGCTGTGACACATCTGTAGGCCTTTTCATACTTGGGGAAGCTCTCCATCACCAAGCTCTACAGCTACTCATGCAAAGCAAAAGTGTATACGTGATGAATAGAATGCTGCCCATGTACTTAACTAACTGGCAGGTTTTTCTCAGCTGCACAAGTGACTATTGGCACAGTTTATGATGCTGCTACCCCCTATTACCTGGGCAATATGGACACATAAGAGTATGTATTCATACTGAGAATGTGCAGTAGGCCAGGCAGGCAGCTACACAGTTATATGCATATACAATACATGCAAAATTGTAATTGGGCAAGAACTCACAACTAGGCAAGCAGGGGGTGCTCCCATGTTTCAGCCTCAGTAGTTGAGTGATTAGGGTGTTTGCCCGGGAAGGAGGTTTGAAGCTTTATCTCCCCAGTTTCTTAGCACAATGCTTTGCACCCTGCTACAGGTGTTGTACAGGCCCTTCTTCAGGCCTGCTTTTGAAGCTGGTTCCCTCATCAGCCAACAGTGGGAGATATGTAGGTTTAAAGAAAGAGAACCCAGAAGGTCAGTGGCTTAGTGAGATAGATGCTAGACTAGAAGGGAGCAGGCCCTGGGTCCTAGCCAGCTCCTTTGCTTCCCAACAGAACAAAAACCACTGCATTCTGCTGTCCTCTTTCCCCTCCCCCGCTGCTTTTTTAACCAATGACTACTAAGTGCAAGGTGCAGTGGCTCAACGTCAAGAGGAACAGTGGAGATGAGTCTAAGGAGTGACTGATTTGCAGTCTGGTTACTACAGCCTTGTGAAGGGAAGCCAAAAAAGACAGAGTTTTATTCTCTCTCTGGTGTAGAGCCTTGGTCTCCTTCCCCTGGGGTGTTTTTTAATCATTTGGGTTTAAACAGGGGATGGTCCTCCTTTTTGTTTTTTCTTGGAGTTACACCGATGTACACATGTACGTAACTGTCCAGTTAGTGTAATGCCTACTCTGCATGCTGAGTATACATCTGTACTGTGCATCAGTGCCAAAAATGCTACTTAAATGTCTGGGTAAGTGCTGTTTAGCTTCACAGAGGTTAATAGGATTCCACTTGACGTGCTTCAGAAAAATACTGTGAGGATGTTATTAAATTTTCAAAGATGCCCTGTTCTAAAAGATAACTGAGTCCATGTAAGGTGATCTTCACCTAACATGCAACATAGAAAGGACATTGTTTGTTTGTACACTATCTTCTACTCCAGGCATATATATTTACCTAGTCCTCAAAGATGTATTCAGTTGGTGGTGGGCATATCTACATGTGCAATTAATGCAACTGAACAAACTGTGGAGCAGTTTGTGCCGCAATTAATGACTCCTCGGTTCAGTGTCTACACGTGTACCCGGAACAGCAGCAAATTGAGCCAGGGAGGAGCAGTTTAGGCCAGAGCTGCTGCTTCTCTACTATGTCCCCCTGCAGCGACCAGGGGGAGCTCCAGGCTTCAGCTGCAGCTGCCCTGGTGCCAGGGAGTACAGCGGGCAGCAGAGGAGTTGTGGCTAGGCAGCAGATAAGAGTGTGGCCGCTTGCTGGCTGGGTTGACTGGGCACAATTTATGCCTGATTCATTATCTACACATGCATTTCTGCACAGTAAATAACTCTGCAGCAGGATAGTAGTATTTACAAGTACTACCCTGTTCTGGAGTGTATTAGTTTCCTGTGGCCTAATAGCACGACACATGTAGATGTGAGATGTTTACTGCAGAACTAATTAGACAACTTCAGTAAATGTCTGCTGTAAACATGTCCAGTGTGAACAACTGATCCTCTTTATGCACCTTTCTTAGACTCTTTCTAACTGTTTCTTTTAAGGAAAATAATTGTATAGAGAGTCTCTGCCTGCCTATATTTAATTATGAATGCATGCATAAATAATTGTACTGGATACATGCAGTGTGAATTCAGAAGCATAAACCTTCACAGTCATCTTCTATTTGGAAGCAGGACAACATGGGAAGCAGCAGTCCCAGTTTATCACACGTGCCTTAATTTAAAGGTTAGGAGGTTTTCTTGGTTTCCATGACTGTATCCTTGGTCTCTCTGCTAAGCCTATCAATAAGTGCTTTTTTAATGTGGATTTATGACCACTAGGAGCTGCGCTGAGACCATGACATACTGTCACATTAGCCAGGACAGGCAGCTAATGAGCTAGATGATGGTAAGGGCACTGGCAAGTGCTATTCCATCCTCCAAAATTTCAGGCAATGTGTGATTTACAAAGGAGTTCAACCTGCTCAGCTCTAAGTCAACAGGCAAGTTGTGCTGTTTAGTAATGCCAGAGTTTTTTTCTGGTTGTATCATTTAATCTACTCCCCACTAGAAAGCAGGTAGGAATTATGGGCCTTGGATTTGGCCCATAAAGTAGATGCCAGGAGATAGAGGCATAGAAAGTGGCTTGTGTGTTCTATGTAATCCCAGTGTCATAATTAAAACAAAACTGTGGCTACTCCACTGACCCAGAACCACAGCACCACATACCCAGTGGTTTGCTCCTGCCATAACCTGGAACACTCACAGGTCCTTGGGCTCCAAGAGTAGACAGTGCCAAACCCCAGCAATGTTGATTTTACACCCTGAATGAAGAGAATTCCCAGCTGCTCAGTTAGTGCCACGTCCCAGTTGCTTTGTATTCCATGAACGGTGCAGAGGAGGCATACGGGATACCTGAAGCACTACTGAATGAATGTTTTATGATATGATTACTATGCTATTTGCCAGTTGTTACACAGGATTTTATAACTAACTGTGTTATATGTTACAGAAAGGATTAGCTATAAAAAATTCTTATAATGCAATTTTGTAGTTGAGAATTCATAAAAGCAGCTGAACGTATCCCCTACTTGTTGATTTTTAGTCAATGAAGGCTTTGATTTTAAAGCAAAAATCATTTCCAATTGGGAGGTTGGAAGCTCCGAGTTTTGAAAAATGAATAGCCTTCTGCCTTTAGAGACAGGATCTCTGTGTTCTCTCTCTGTTCCTCCCCACTCACTTGTTCTGGAGCTGTAAGTAAATAAATGTAAATCTTTTTTCTCAGTTTCCTGTCTGTAAAATTGGGATAACACTTCTTTAAAATCATATAACTGGTATTGGATGCAGTTATTAATCTCAGTGAAATGGTTTGAAATCCTAAAATACCAGGTCCCATGTAACTACAATATTGGCATTATTTACTATCTTTATTTAAAATATGCTCCTAAAGGCAGTGTGCATGACTCCTTAATAGAGTACATAGAAAGTACTTCGTAGCAAGGCAAAACTACAACATACGAGTATTAAAGGGGGGTGGGATGCTCTTTTAAAATCTGGTGGCCTCCCCCTACCCCATTTATACCTAAGGCAGCTAATTCTAGTGTCACTCTTGACCGCTCAGATATTTAGCATGTGTTCTTGAAAAATTAGGTATGAAAACTCTCCAGATAGAGTTGTGCTGATGTATTTTGAATAGAGAATGTAATCAGGTAAAGCCACAAGTTTGTTCTACACCCTCTGGCTGGGGTTGCTGAATCCTAAACAGTTGTTAGAACTGCTAATGTTTCAAATTTGCTGTCTGCAGCCATTGACTGTGAACTAACAGAGTGGTCCCACTGGTCTGAATGCAATAAATCATGTGGAAAAGGGCATATGATCAGGACAAGAATGATTAAAATGGAACCTCAGTTTGGAGGAGCTCCATGCCCAGAAACTGTCCAACGTAAAAAATGCCGAATAAGAAAATGCTTGAGAAACCCAAGTATAGAGAAAAGACGCTGGAAAGAGGCCCGTGAGAAAAGGAGAAGTGAGCAAGCTAAGAAAGACATAGATAGTGAGCAATATCCAGGTAAGTTGTGCGTTGGTGCTTCTCTTAGAACATTCTTGTTACCATGACCTTTGTTTAAAACAGGAAAGAGCAACAGGTCTTTAATGCAATCTAATTTTTCTAGCATAATTTAGTAGTATTGCATTCTAGGTAAAGCTTCAATAAGGTTGTATGGTGACTTTCACCTTTGAACACTGAAAGTCAAATCTGAGTTTAGGTCACAAGGTGTAAGTTTTCAACTTGCTTTGCCTCTCAAGTTGCCAAGAACTCTGTATTCTTCCTTCAGGTTCTTCCTTCCATTATAAAAAGGGAGCTCCTGAACATCTTGACTTTAGACCTGCTTGATAAGGAGTTGACTTTGTTTTAGATAGCAATAATAATAATTATTATTATTATTACTATTAATAATAATAGTAAAACTGACTAAAACCAACATGAGACCACTAAAGGCTGTGGCAAAACCCTGCTCCAGAGTTCTGAACCAAATCAGAATCACATTTTTGCTCACCAGGTTCTTTTCAGCTAGGGCCAATATTTTCAAACTTTGGGTCCTAAAGAGTAGATAGATAATGTGGTATTATAATAAGCTTTATCACTACCTTGCTTTGTTCCCCATCCCACTTAATTAATTTCCATCTACCTTTCCTTATCTAACTTGAAAATATATTGGGTTAGGGGTTGTCCTCCAACATTTGTTGGAATTTATATATTGAAGGCTTTAACTGGACATGATTCAGCCTTGTAATAATAGATTATTCTATGGGTATTAATAAAATAAATACTCATTATTCATACCCATACAATAATCTATTATTGGTGGCTGTACAATAATATCATACAATAATCCATTATTAGTATATATGCACACATACATGCCCCCACAGCAATTTAGCTAGCTAGTTAGATAATTCTAAACACTAACATTAAATCATTGTTTTAATAACTTATCTGGTTTTTGTTTGGTTTTTTTTTATTTTAGGTTGTAAGATGAGACCATGGACTGCTTGGTCAGAATGTACCAAACTGTGTGGAGGTGGAATTCAGGAACGCTTCATGATAGTAAAGAAGAGATTTAAAAATACTCAGTTTACCAGCTGCAAAGACAAAAAGGAGATAAGAGCATGTAATGTTCATCCTTGTTAGCAAAACCTGAGGCTTCAAAGTGACACACTCTGAGTTAAATGGAAAGTCAACCTTGGTTTGGTTTTTAAAACAAAAACAAAAAAAAGAATATAAAGTGTATATTCGTCTTCATTTTTGCAGTGTGGTTTGCTTATTAGTCTTGCTGGTGCAAGAAATATATTTTATAAATATTTCCTCACAAATGTACGCTGAGAGTGGATTTCTGATACTCCAGCCAGCCCTTAATGCATAAAACAAGTAAGTCATTGTGAGTCATTTAACTCTGAAATAGAGACATCTCTGTGGACATGCAATAGCCATATAGAAATATTACCTGTAGAGACATAGGTGGCATGCATATTAACATAACTAAGTTAAAGTGACATGTTACATGTATGGAAGGAATTCTCTTTAAATTTGATTTCAAATATCCAAAGCAGTGCCTATGTGATTACACAGTTGTGCCAAGGAATACTTTAAATAATGTTGGTTCAATAACATTAAAAGGTGCATATTTATATTTCCCACCACTGGGTTAAGTTAGTATTTATAGTAATTATTCTGTATAATTTTTCGTCATGAGAATTCTAGGGTCCCTTAAAAAAGTAGTTTGCATCTTTAAAGGAAACAGTTCTAGTAAGTCAGAAATTTATCCCTGTGGACATCTCCGTAAAGATGCTTATTTAATGTGCAAGGATGATCAAAATAACAAATATGGAAAAATGCCATATGCCACCTTAATAACACATCCTTATCTTGAATACCATTTTTGGTTCTGCCTTATGCCATCTCATAAAGAATGCAGCTGAAACAGAAAGGGTCCAAAGGAAGATCGGGGCAGCTACTGCAGCATGAAAAGGCTTCCATATAAATAAGATTGAAAAAGATTAGGACTAATTTATGAGAGGGGCCAAGATGGAAGTATATAAAATAGTGAGTGACAGAAGGCGAGTCAAGTGTGGTATAGCTTATAATTAGGGACCAACCTAAATTGCCCCAAGACGCAGGGTTTTTTTGTGGCCTGGTTGCAGCATGCAGAGCCAATTTTGCAGGCATTTCACAGTGGCCTTGCTGCTGATTGGTGGATTCCACAAAATCCATGAAACTGCAATTTAGGTAAGTTCCTGTTTATAATGCAGAAAGGGTGGGGAGGGGGAGATACACTTTCAAATGAAAGTGCAACATACTAAAAACTGATAAACAAAAATACAACTTTGTTACTCAGCGAATAATCATCCTGTGCCATTCATTGCTGGAAGGTGTACTCTCGAGGCAAAGCATTTAGGAGGGTTCACCCCCGCCCCCCCACAAAGGATTAGATGTGAATTATAAGACTTTCACCTGCAGTTATACTAGGAAGGATAAAAATTATGCTTGAGGTCCTAAGCTGCCAATTTACTGCCTACAGTTAGAAAGCAGCTTCTTATCAGGTGTTTCTGCATACTTATCCCTTTTTACACCCTTCTCTGAAGCATCCAGTCATGGCTGCAGGCAGGATGTGGGATAAGGTGGACTTCAGATCTCATCTATTATGGTTATTTCTTATGGTTTTAAGATCTTAAGATTTACAATGGAAAACAAAAGGTAACAATTTATTTACTTTTTGTCCATTACAGAAGTTGTAAACCTATGTCTCTATCTAAACAAACAACAACAATGCACTGAGAATAAAGACTGTTGTCTGATAACATTCTTTTTAAAAAAAGTTTGAGAGAAATGAATGGAAAATTGCAATCTTATATTTCTTTTTAGTCAGCTGTAGATAAGTTATTCAAACAATTTACACTTTATCACATGGTCCAAAAATTGGCACCTGGTTTGGAACGTCATAATTTACAGCCATTGGTCCTCACCCCATCACATTCAGGAATCTTTGACTTGGCTCCTGTGGTATCTCAACCGCATAAGGTGGCTGGATAGTGGAAGAATGCTCCTTCATTTTCCTGCAAAACCATTGAGCACTGCTAGAGATTCTGTAGTGTCCCAACGCCCCAATACCCAAGTACACCTTGCTGCCTCCCGTTGCCCTGGAATTAAGTAAAGACCAGTACAGTAGTGGGGCCAACTTCTGTGTTTAGTCTCATTGCTGCTAAATGAAAAAAATCAGTGGGCGTGAACCCTAGTGAATCAAATCGGGGGGAAAGGTTTAGCCTAACCTTTAAAAGGGGCGGGGGAACCCCCAAACACTTCCATCTTGCACAGACAAGGTCTTTTAGTAACAGGACAGTAACGGGAGAAAGGACCACTTGGTGTAGAGGGAAAGTTAACAGAAAAACCTGAGCTCCCAGGAGGAGCTGTCCCAGAAATCACATGCAAATGAGATCCATGCAAACAGTGCACAATGATCCCCCTCGCACTTCCTGGAAAATATTTCATGTTAACTCTTTCTATCCCCACAGGGATCTTGTAGATTGTGGTAACCATTAAAGGTCAAGGAAATGGTTGCCTTTTATGCCTTGTTTATACTACTGCTAAAAATCCATCTCAAAGGCCTTTCTAATTTCTGTATGGAAAGTAATCACTTATTTTTACAGATACCATTAGTAACAATTTTAGATTTATTCCCTTTTAACAAAGTTTATACAACTTTAGTTCAAATATATGCATTAAACTTATGTGAAGTATATAAAGGTGTATTACATTTTCATATGTAATATGTGCTGTTTGAATAGAACCACACAGAAAAGTTCAGGCAGTTCTCACACTCTGTTTCAAGTATGGTTTCAATAACCATATACACTTTATTTATTTTATTTTAATCAGGAGGGTGTTCGTTGTGGTTTCCAGTCATTTCTCTTGGGCTCAGTATTATAGATGTTTGAGTTTTTCCACATTATTAATACCTGCAATCACAAAATTGTGTGTAGTTAGAGGTGTGGTTGTTTCTGCCTGTCCAGTTTATTATATTATTTTTCTGTTGATCAATTTCTTTCCAGTTCACTTTGCTGATTTTCTTCTAACTTGATACAAAAGATATTTAAGCTTGTTACTTTTTGTAAAAAATAAAAACAAAAAACAAAAACAGAAAATTAAGAGGTTGATTTTCTATTAAGGAAAACAAAAAAAGCTCTGATTATATAGTATGTAGAATTATTGCAATGTTACTGTAAACTTTCTAGTAGTGTAATATTCACTGAATATCAGTCAATAAAAATAAAATTTATCTCTTGTTAGTAACTCATGAATAATACATATTCCTGAACTGAAAGCACAGGTATCACTTCAGAGTTTTGTACACCTCAGTTATCAGTTTTTAGCATCCTGTGTATGTTGTTTTTTTCTAACATGAGCTGTAGAAGCTTTACATATAATAAAAGGAAAAAGGGTAGGGGCTTAACAAATGTATAATAGGACTTAATATGTGCAACATGCATTTCAATTATTTTTTTTAAGTTTTCCTCTGCTGCTGTTTTTGTTTGCTGTGGAACTATGAGAAAGATATGAACATTTCTTACCAAAGTCCTGTGTAGATGTTTTGTAGTTGTCTGGCTAACACATTATTATTTTGGAATAAAGACATCTTTACTATAAAAATTACATGTAGTGTATGAGACTATTTGACTTAAAACTTTTCATGTTTAAAAACCTGGAAAGGCATCACAGAATAGATTCTGCATCTCACTCCACACACACACACATGCACACTTTCCAGATTTAATATACCACTAGCAGCATGTGGTAATTGCAAACAGCCTGGAAACTGGTGAAGTGGAATTCATTCCACTTTCATCCACCCTTGGGGAAGGTTGTTGTAGTATCTGAGGCCCCTGGCACACATTCATTTAATGGCACAATGAGATCGGACACCAATCCCAACAATTGTGCCATCTGCCATGCCACATGTGCATGGCAGGATGTGTGATTTTGGGATCAGAGATCAAATCCTAATAGTGCTATTACTACTTGCCAGTGCATAATCCTCAGCTCACCCTGCACCAGCAAGTTGAAAGCTGGATGTCTGTAGCCCAGTGTGAACTGTGCAGTCCTGAGGCCAGGACTGATTATCAGCCAACTGTCGGCCACAGCCCTTGGTTGCGATGGAGCTGGTTGGAGACTGGTGCAGTCTGTAGGGTTGGGAATGAAATCAGCCTAATGTGGGTCCCAGACCTGGAACCGGTTTGAAGCTGTTTGTGGGGCCCAGCCCCAAGACTGCCGTGGGGTTAGTCTCAGAGCTCCTTGTGCTGGGGATGTCAGAAAACCACGTGTGCAGCTGGTGTGCACATGCAGTTTTTAAAGGTCCCAGCACATGGGGATTCTGGGATCAGGGAACCTCTCCCCAGCCCTAGGGTTTCCAGGGCTGCAATGCATCAAGGGCCTTGCTCTGCAGCTCCCTGGGAGGTGCAAGGCAAGGCAAGCAACCTGTCAGGCCGCAGGGAATCCCACAGCTCATCACCTGGGACCAGAATGTGCCTGGCTTCTTAACCTGTGGAACAAGGCAAGCACCCTGCCAGGGCATGGGGAGCCCTGTAGGTCCTCATGACCTGGCACCCCAGCCCAACTGATAAGCTCCATAGGCAGAGCTGCACCACCTGGCTGTCAGCCTGCCAACTAGGGCTGCACGAAGCTTCAGTCACTGATTCAATTTGGCAGAGATTTGGCCCAATTCAGTGGCCAAATCTCTGAATCCAAATCAAATCAGGAGGGCGTTTAATCTCTCTGAATCGAATTGGAACCCTCCGAGTTGATTTAGAGTGGTTCGGAAAGATTCAATGATTCAGACATAGACACAGCTTTAAATGTGTTTTCTACATACCTCAAGGTACAAGGAGGCTCATGGATGATGAGATACTGGGGTGGATGGAGCATCCCACAGGAGGGCCCCCAGCACTCTCAGCAGTGGACCTGGAAGTGGATCAGAAGTATGTGAGGGGTCTCCCTCTGCCCCCCGGCTCGGTGACTGGTGTTCTGGGTCTGGAGGGGCACCTGAGATCTCCATGCTGCCAATTGCCAAGCTGGAGGGGAGCGCAGAGGGGTCCCCCGTGTGCTCGGTGGCGGACCCAGAAGTGGACCAGAAGTATGGCTGTGCTATTTTCTAACCCTGAGCCTAGTTCAGGCTGGCCCATGGCCCCAGGCAGGAGACCCCAAGCAGTCTGACTATAAGAACAGGCTTGAAAACCCACACATCCCATTGCAAATGGCAGCCAAGAGCCCTAGTCCCCAAAACAGACCTGGAGCAAAAAGGAACCCTGCCACCTCCATGCCTGGCTCCCACCATTGGAACCTCCCCAACCCCACCCTTAGGTGGAAGGCGAAAGGGCCCATCCCCTTACTCTTAGCACAGAGTGCCTTACCTATCTGTATCCTCGCTACTACTTCGGGAGCTCTACCTAAGCAAAAAGGCAACTCTAACCCTTTGCCTTACTCCAACCCAAACCTCAACCCTACATCTAGTCCTAGCTCGGGCTTCTCCAACAGCAGCATGCAGAAGACCCCAAGGAGCCTGACTGTATGTCACCCAGCCACTAGCTGTGGGGCCACAATTTCCAACCTGCTTATTTTAGCATTGAATGTCCTACCTACCAGTGTCTTGGTCATAATTAATTCTGGAATTCCTACTAATCCTAGGCAGAAAGACAATTGTCACTAAACCTTTCCCATTTTCTAACCCTAGTCCTAGCCCCAGGAAGGAGACCCCAGCAACATGACTGTAAGGACAGGCTTAGAAAGCCCCCAAGTCCAACTGCAAAGCTCGCCGGGGAAATCCTTACCAGCCAAAACAGCTCTGGAGCCAGGGGAAATCTCTGAACCCCCATGACTGACTCCACTGCTAGGAACACTCCCATTCTCACAAGTAGGTGAGGTGTCCAAGGGTGCAACCTGCTTACCCTTAGCAAAAATTTCCCTAACCAAGTCCCTAACTATAACCCCAGGAACACTACAAATCCCAAGCAGAAAGATAGTTCTAAACCTTTCCTATTCCCTAACCCTAACCCTAGCCTGGACTGCACAAGCAGCCCCAGGCAAAATGTCTCAAATAGCCCAATTACAGAAACAGACTTGGTAGGCCTTTAAACCCTACCCTTCAACCCAGCCAGTAGGTCCCTAGCTGCCAAAACAGTCCTAGAGCAAGAAATGACATCCTACCCCCAAGCCTGCATCCCTCCCATCCCAAACTGTAAGTGGGAGTCAGTGGGGAGAGGCGGTGCAGGATACATCCCACTTATTCCCAGTGTGGGCTTTCCTAGGTATTGATGTCCTACCTATAACTCTGGGAGTCCTACCAATCCCAGGCAGAAAAACAGCTTTTAACTTTTCCCATTCCCTAACCCTAACCCTAGTTTAGACTGTTTCATCTTCCAGCAGATGATCCCGAGAAGCCTGGCTACAGGACCCTGCTTGGAAAGCCTCAAAACCTCACCACTAAGCCCCCCTAGCTTTCAAGATATCCTTAGATGAAAAGGACCCTCCCATCCCAAACAAGGTGTCTCCTCTGCTTGGAGACTTCCCAGCCCCAACCCTGTGTGGGGGATCCCCATGGTTCATCTCACTTACTCTTAGCATTAAGTGCCTTTTTTGGCAGGTAGGGATCTCCCAGTTAGGACTAGGGTTTAGGTGGTTTTCTGTCAGGCCACTGTCTCAAACCCAAGACCTTAGTTTGCCCAGATTAGTCACTCAGCCCCATCGGCTCAGCTGAGCACCCCAGACTGGGCACCAGTAGCCAGAAGCCTTCTTCAGGGCCTAGCCATCTGCCCACTCCCTGCTGCCTGAGTGGTCAGTTAGGTTCAGCTGCCCTTCCACTTCCCAACACAGGAAGATAATGGGGCTCAACCTGTACCCAGGCTGCTTTGCTGCTTGTCACAGCTTGTGCCTCTACCAGATCCCTCGGCTTCTCAACCTGGTTCAGACTCCATGCTCTGCCTGAACCTTCAGCTTCCTAACCCAACCTCTTCCTCAAGGTCTGACTCCAAGCTTGTTCTCCTGGCTACCTGACATGGCTTATTTTCTAACTCTGTGCTGACTCTTTGGCTCACCACCCAGAGCAGGTGAAGCCCTCAGTTCTGCAGTCCAAATCTAGCATGTCCACAGGGCAGATCTGGCCTATGGGCCAGATGTTGCCAACCTCTGCTCTATAATAACAGTATAATTAATCTCTGCATTTCACTGTATTCTGATGCCCATCATTACAGTGACATTGCGTTCCCACTTCAGGGAAAAGCTATTAATGATGCACACAATATTGTGACATTCAGGAATAGTTGACTTCATGCTGATTTTATTATTTGGCACTCTAATGAATATCAAAATAACATTGTTACATTTCCATAATCCTAACTGCAAAAGATGTACACTTTTATGTTTTTTCCACTTAGGAAGCAACATCTTAACTACAGGGAAAAGACCTTACCAGCAAAATGGAATATATTTAGGAACCTTATGCTACAACATTTCATTGCTTTTCATTCTTTGCTCCACACGTAAACACATTTTAGGTCTTTATTACTATGCCTTCAACATGAAAACTCAGTAACTTCATGTAGTGTTTTGCCGTATGGTGGAAAGCAAGGCAATTACCATCCACCTGACTGTTATTTAGCTTCTTATCTTCCAGTTTCCAAAGCACAGAACATTTTTTGCCATAATTGATGGTCACATTAACTGCTCAGTAGGCAATGACATTTTTCACACTCAGCCCTAGGTGGTCCAGTGCATCTAAACCGCTACTGCTATAGGCTTTACAATCTCCTCAGGTTCTTCAGAAGGGTCCTGAAGAACATTGTTTACTCCACAGGCTGTATCAAAATAGCAAATATCAAGATGAGAAAGCCTTCTGTTATGCTTAAAGCATCTACACAAACGGAAAAAACAGAGATGCTGGGGACTTTCAATTTGTTTCCTGCAGTTTCAATAGCTGATGTCAGGAGAATATTTTCAAATAGGACTTTTTAAACATTCATCTGATGAATTTTAACTTCAGTCATTGATTCCCAAGCACTGATATATGGTCATTAGTGCTGCGTGAAACAACACCGTTTTGCTTCAACTTCTGTTTCGATGGAACAGTGTTTTGCTTTGAGTTTAGTTTCATTTCAAAAGCACCATTCCATTTTGACTCTTCGAAACAGTTTTGCTGTTTTGACACTGTTTTGAGTTTTGCCCACACCCCCAGAGGAGTCCAGCAGAGCCCTTCTGGAGGTGTGGGTGGGAGGTGCCACTGCCACCTGGGACTGGTGCTGAGAGCTGAGCCTGGTGGAGGGAGGCAGAGCTCAGCCCTGGCACTGTGCTCCGCTTCCCCACAGAAGGCTCAGTTCCACAGGGCTGGGAGCTGCTGCGTGCTGAGCCCCATGGGGGGAGGTGGAGCACAGAGCCAGGGCTACATGCTGCCTCCCCGCAATGGGCAGCAAGCCCCTGGGTGCTGAGCCCAGTGGAGAGAGGTGACTCACAGCCCTGGTGCTGTGTGGGTGGAGCGCAGCCCCGGTACTGCACTCCACCTCCCTCCACTGGGCTCAGCACCCGGCGGCTTGCTGCCTGGTGGAGGGAGGTGGCCTGCGCTCTGCCTCCCTCCACCGGGCTCACCTTCCAGTGGCTCGCAGCCCTGT